GTAAATGGATAGATGGATGTGTGTGTAAAAGTGGATGAATAAATAGATAGCTGGAGGGATGGGTGTGTGGGTAGGTGGATGGATATGTGTGGATGTGTGTGTGTGGATGTGTGTGTGTGTGTGTGTGTGTGTGTGTGTGTAAGGAATAATGAATGGATGGGTGTAGGGATAAATGACTGTCTGGGAACGGACTCATAGCTGACCCTCCAGCAGGTTTTCAAGGCTGTAAATTCCACAGGAGGACGCTGCCCGTCTTTCTCCTGAGAAGCTGCTGATGGATTGGAACCTCCAGAGAGGCCAAGTCCTCAGGTTAGCAGCATATTTCCTTAGTGTCTAGGCCACCAGAGATGGGTACAGATAAACCCAGCACAGTAGCTCAAGGAGAGAGTAGGATCTCGAAGAGAAGAGTGACATAGTCTCACAGGGACAGCCTGGAAAGTAGCATCTTTCTGCCCCCTTGATGGGGTCAGGGGTCAAAGATCACCAGGACCCAGGGTCTGGGCCAAAAGGAGGTTTCTCTCTATTTGAGAGAAGCAAGGCTCACAGGTGCAGAGAAGCCCTGCTGTTCGCAAAGAGGCCGGCAGGGGGCGCTGCGTGCCAGCTCTTGGTGCAAACAGACTGGTCACCAGATGCAGGCTGGGTGCCCAGCTGAGAAGCTGTGTTAGACTCTCCCAGGCAGACAGGGACTCGACGCCCAGCACGGAGTCCCAGCATCCTGCTTCCATCTCCCCTTGTGACCCAGTGCCTTGATCTGCCCAAGGGGGGAGGTAAGAAGCTCCTATATTACAGGCTCCTTTAACCTGTGCGAGCAAGACCTTTACACTCAGCTGAATGGTCACACGCCGCAGGCTGGGCGCACCACGAGGTGCCCAAACCAGTGACCATGTTTACGGGCGTCCAATGGCATCCATTCTGCCTCCCACCCCTGCCCACAGCGACCTGAGACAGACAGACCGTCACATACCCCTCCACCTTCCTTCAAGTCCACTTCTAGGAGGGGAAGGACCTGTCCACTGGGCCTTTCCAGGCCTCTCCTCAATGACCCCCTCAGCCTGTCTCAGTGGGCTTCCCAGTCTCCTGCCTCCCCGGCCCCTCCATCTGCTCCTTAACCCCGAGGGTCCTCCACTCAACAGTGGACTTGGCTGCTCTGGACAAAGCAAGCCTGGCCCTCTCGTGACCCCATCTCAGTAAGCCACCTTCCTCACAGGGCACCCTGTCCCTTGGAGGCCACACTCTCCTTCTCCTCTCTGCACCATCCAGCCCCTCGGCCCCTGGGCCTTAATTGCCCTGCCTGAAGACCTGTGGACACTCCTTATTAACTGTCTTCTGCTCCCTCATGCTACACTGACCATCAGCAGGTGACCATGCTCAACTTACCCCTTTGGGCCTGGGGCAGGGCCTGGGGACCCTCATAACCCTTAAAGCATCATTCCAGCTCCTTCTGGAAGCTCTAGTTAGTCCCAGGCAGCAGAAGCAAACAGCCCCTTCTTCCTAGACCCCAGCGAACCCCTTTGGGCTGAGGGCCTCGAGTGGGAAACGCCAGCCTGAGTCCAGGCTCTCCCGATGTGGCCTCTGTTTTCTGTCAGTAAAATGACCCCTCGGGATCATGAAAGGTGAGCACGCAGCCCACAGTTCCCAGTGTTGCTGCTGACGTCAGGGCATTTAAGAAACCAGCCTGGGTGGGGCTTCTTGGGAGCAGGCCATGACCGCCTCAGCGTCCCCATGACCAGCAACACTGTCCCTGGGCCTGGTGACGCTCACAGGGGCTCCTAGATGGTAGAGGAGCTCCAGTTCCAGCACACGGGGGCGCCAGTGGGCACACAGGTGTGCTCACCTCTACTGGCCTCCTGGGTCTAGGGCACTCGCTGGGGGCAGTGGAATGGACACAACCGCTCTCCTAGCTCAGAGTCCTTCCCTGCATCCTGAACGAGGCCTCAGTGCCTCCCACTGGACTGGGCATGTGAGTTCCTGCCTATCGAGGTTCCAGACCCCCCAGGTCTGCTTCTCTGGGTCCCCTTTGTTTTTTCCTGCATGAAGTAAAAGAGGATTCTCAAAACTACTTCACAGGTGAGACATGGAGACCAAAAAGAGGCTGTAAGTGACCTGCCTGCGTCCACCAACCATCGAGCCTTGGGCCTAGGACCCTTGTGGTGCCCCATCTACCAGATTGCAGTGGACACCCCTCCCCATTGCTCAGGACAGCAGGTCCAGCTGAGTTTCTGGAAGGCATGGAAGAGGGAGGTGACTGGTCTTAGGTCACACCACAGCCAGGAGCAGAATCAAGGTCCTGTGGGTCCCTCTGAGGGATGGGGGCAGCTTCTGATTTCCACCCCAGTGGTGAATGTCCACCAGTCCTGCGTCGTCAGGGAAGCTGAGTGGTCATGACCAAGGTTAGGGTCCCTGGGTAGTAGAGGAGCTGGGGGCACTGTAGGGGAGGGTGCACAGGATGGACTGGTTCAGGGCGTGAAGACAAGGTGGGGAGAACATTGGGAAACGGTACCCTGGAGTCTGGGGGCCAGATAGTGGGTGGAAGCTGGCATGGCTCTGACCTCGGTGCTGAGGCACATGAGAAGCGGCAGGTCTAAGGGTAAAGGTGGTAACTGCAGTTGGGCATACTGGCATAGGATGTTTCCATGGATCTAGAGCTGAAGAGGGACTGTCTGGGGTGACTGAGGAAGCAGGAAGTTGGAGCCGGGGGTGGGGACAGAAACCAAGAGACCAGGAGCAGGCAGGAGCAGTGGGGACTTAGGGAGGGGGACCCAGGCTGTCGTGACTCGGATTCCTCTAAGGGGATCTGTCTCATGAGACCGTTCTCCAGTGTAGAAGGTCTGACACGCTTCTCCAGGGAGTACCTCCCACACGAACCCCACCACCTCCTAGAGGCCCACTGACCTGGCAGAGGTGCCCTAGCCATGGCCAAGTTCAAACCAGCCCTAGCCAGAGCCCAGACCCTCTTGGGCTCACCATGGCAAACCTCCTGGAGAAACTGAGCCCATCTTGACCTGGCCATGAGCTCACCAGGGCAGGCAGCAGTGGGCGTGGGGCCTTGACCCAAGAACACCAGAGCACAGCTAGTAGGGCAGCGGCCTGGTGATGTCACTCAAGTTCCTTGGCCGGCCAAGACACCACCCGCCTGGTCCACAGGCCAGCTGAGTTCCGAGGCTTCCATGACCCTCAGGCAAGGCGGTCCCCTTGGGGTCGGGCTCTCCCACTCTCATGGGCCATGAAGTCAGAATGTAAGCTCAGTGGGTCCTGCTGGCTGACCCTCTCCCTTTGTTCTGGAACCCCCTATGGTGACATCTGGGCACGCAAGCCCCAGGAGAGGAGTAAGCACTTGGCCTAAGCCAAAACTGGCAACCTCTGTCTTCTCGGCCAGGTGCTCACTCTCACAGCCTGCCTGGCAACGGGAGGCGGTTCTATGCCCAGCAGTGGAGACAGGAGGTGGAGCCAAACTGCAGACCACAGTGCAGCGTTGGCAAGAGCTGTGCACCATGTGTGCCTGGATGGGGGTGTATCCATGTGGCCACCTCATGGGAGAATGCCAGACACTCTCTTTCTGTAAAGGTGCATCTCCTGAGAAACTCAATGGAGGAGCACTTGAAACGGCAGTGGGTTTGGTCCGGACCCGAGTCCTTATCTTGGGCACTGCCTCAGGCATGGCCTGTCCGAAGGTACCATCCTTCATCGACATAGATAACTGAACACTGCTGATAGAGTGATCACTCTGCCCTTGTCGGGCCCAAACGAGCTGGCTAGCAGGGGAGGAGGACCCGGGTCTTCTCAGGGCCCTAGAGGATCCAGCTAGAAATAGGTTTGTGATGGGCTGGGGGCTGCTGTCTCCCTGCCCAGGAAGAGCCAGAGATGGGGACAGCAGCCTGGAGACGGGGCAGTACCTCTCTCCTCTCTGCACTGAGGGATTGGCTTCTGAGAGCTCAGAGCCCTGCATTCAGATCTGGGCTCTCCACTTTCTTGTTCTCACACTCCTCACGCCCATGCCCACCCTCAAGGCTGGCCCACCCCCGAGGAGTCCATCTAGTGTCACCGAGGCTCCAAGCAGCACCAGCTCCCTGTCCAGGCTGCTTAAAGCATAAAGCCTGCTGTACTGCTGGGACCTGCCTTCCGCGCCACACTTGGCAGATGGCTAACAAACGTCCACTCTCAGCCCATCTGACCTTGGCCTCCAGCGTGGTCAGTCGTTCGCTCATGTCGCTGAGCCGGGTACAATTCATGCATTCTGAAAGAGAAAAGCAGAGGTGAGAGCTGAGTGCTGGCCTCGACAGAGCAGTCTCTCCATTCATTCTGCCTAGAAAACTCCTACACAGCTGTCAGGGCCTTACGCTCAGTGCCCTCTCCTTCATGCAGACATGCCCAATCTCCAAGCCCTTTTCTGAGTGCCCCCAGCACATGACTGACTGGCACTGAGCCAGCATCAGGGAGGTCTTATTGGCATGTGGACTCAGGGAGTAGGATTTATGCTGTTCCCAGAGCTGGCACAAATTAGAGGCTTGAAAACTGTTTAAGAATGCAATGAATGGATGGTGCAGAGACATCTCCTTGACTTTGAGGGCCCAGGATAGGAGACCAGCAAATAGCAATAGAACATGCCAAGTCACCAGGAGAGACCAGAGCCAGACAGTGTGGGTGCGGCCAAGGTGGGGGAGCGACCTGAATAGCGGCAGCTGAGGGAAGACCCGAGAGGTTGGCTCTGTGAGGGAGAGGGGAGTGGCCAGACTCAGGTGGACAAGAGAGCAAGTAACGCGTCCAGAGAGAGAACGAGACAGGCATGGAAGCAGACACCTGGGGCCTGGGCACCAGCGCCAAGGACTCCCTGGGGCCGCAGAAGTGGGTGAGCCTAGCATGGAAAGCCAGGAGTGGGAATTGGCCAGTGTCCTGAGGCTGGTGGGCAGCCCGTTGGAGGGTTTACAAGTGGCAGGAGAGCGACAGCCCAGGTCAGTTTTGCATTTTTAAAAATTAATATTTTGGGGGGGTGGGGTGGGTGGGGAGAAGGATGCAACAATGAATGAATGGAATTCCAAAATCTTTGTAGATGTTCATTCAAATGAAAAATAAATAAAAAGAATTCTTGATGAAAAAAAAAATTAATATTTTGGAGCTCTGGTGGCCTAGTGGCAAGAAGTTGTGCTGCAATCCAGAAGGCACGCAGTTCAAGGCCACAAGCTACTCCGTGGCCAAAGAATAGGCAATCTCCTCCTGTGAGATTAAAGCCTCTGAAAACGCTCTGGAAGGTCACCCATGGGTCAGTTCCAACTCCACTTACACAACAACAACAATTCCTATCCACAGTGTTTCAGGCATGTACATTGTGTTTTATACAGTTTTTCATTTACATTATATTTTGGGGTTCCCCCCCCTTACAATCATCTTACTAATAACTAACTTTGTAAATGCATATAAGCCTCATGCCCCAACATCCCTTTTTCGATAGCCGATTTCTGATTTGCCCACCAGGACCCTGAGGGAAGAAGCATGTCCCCTTTTCCAAAGGACTCGCTACTCAACTCGGAAACTCTCAGCATCTGAAACCACAAGCGTAGTCCAGTCCCCAGCAAGCCCTCAGGCTGC